ATTTGTATGAATGAACCTGTCGTCCAATCAGCCTCCTTTGCAGAGTGAAACCCCAACAGTCTCCCAGGTTGAGCTCCGCGAGAAGCTGGCAGTCCGGCCCAGCGGTATGTCCAGGTGTAGGTGGTCCCTAGAAGGCAGCTCAGCATGGACCGAGAGGAAAAGGCCGTGCACGAAAGACCAGACCAGCTCTATTGCAGCTTGCAGGCAGGTATGTAGCCAGTCACCTCATCCGAGTCTATTTTAAATGGACTGAATCCAGGGGCCAAAATACGCCCTCTGCACTGTCCTGCGTTTTGGCACTCGCTGCTTTGGTCTGAATGTGCATCACGTTTGCATGGGCCAAATTCGCCCCAGGTGCAACTCCACACTGACATCAGAGGGAGCGACATCAGGATGCGTTTGCCTCCTTGGGCCCGAGGAAGTGCTATTTTGGCAGGAAAATATTCCAGCCCCCTCAGCAAAAGGTACACTGTCTCCATCCGCGGTTATTCTTTTTGTGGTTTGGGGTTTATGTATTTACATCTTAAGGAATCAAGTACTGGGTTAAGCAGCGCAGCTTTCCCCATGACTCATGCTCTTTAATAACTAATAAGTGACTCCAGCACACCAGGACTTCTCACAAGGGCCCGCGCCACACCGGCCTCGGCTGGATTGCTGTCCCAGAGTGGCCCTCCTCTTACACAGCGTTGCATAAGATTGGTGTAACCCTTTGCAAGGCCATGAAGAGAGGGCAGCTCGCTAGAGGGAGATGCGAGGTGTTCTGGAAGGGGATTAAATTGCTAGGGGAGAAATGCTCCAACGAAACATGGAAATGAGGTGTTAGTCACAAATGTGAGCGAGGTATCCAGGTGCCAGGGGTGAAACACTGGAGCTCGGCTCCCTTGTGCCGTAGCTGTTGTGGGTCAGCTGCTTTTCCTGATCTGGAGGGCTGTGTTAAAAGCTGGACACTTACATAAACGTTGTTTATAGACTGGAAAACTGTCAATGAAAATGTTATTTCACTTGAGGAAGGTGCACAGTGGCCCCTCGGAAATTGTTTTCCACTGTTAACCCCCCCCCAAAAAAAACAACAAACCCAGTGTGCAGCATGGTACAGCTGAAATGGTTACAGCAGTATTTTTCCCCGTGTTGATGAATTCATAGACCAAATACCTTGCTAACAGATGTTTCTCTTAAACTTATGCTGGTTTAAGAATAACTCAATGTCAGCACTGCCCTTTATCTGCATATGCCTTTCCAGTAACATTCACAGGCATTTATAAGGCACGGGCTGCATAGAAACAAAAGAAAGCTGAATGCAAAAAACCTAACAGATATTACCCAGCCCTTCAGCTCAGACGCCGGAAGTGTTTGGGGCACGATGCCTGCACAGGTTTTTGGGGGTTTTTTCCCAGATGTGCTGGTTGACGGTGGTCATTTTTGATCCTGTTTTTATGGTCAGTTTATAACACCTAGCCCCGAACCATAACACAGCAGACAGCCCCTCTGACTCCAGAGATGGGTATGAGTGTGCGATACCTATGCATGTGCAATACTAGAGAGCAGTACAGCCGCGCTGCAGCTGACCTACAGTAGCAAGACCAAGGTGCCTGGAGAGGAAATCACCCAGGATCACTTCTTTGGCCATGTTTCTGGGTCTTGCAGTTGGTTGACTTTTCATCCCATTTGAGAAATGACGATAGAACTGCCATTTCCTGGGTCAGGCAAATTTGGGTGGGTCGGGTCCATCTCGCCCTGGCTCGTGTCACACAAGGGCAGACAGTGTATGCAGGAAGGATGAGTGAATTGGGTATGAGCAGGGTGTTTTTTCTTCCCCTCTATTCCTCTCTCTGAGCCTCCAGCATTTAAGGCCTAAGAAGTTTCGATGGCGCGTGCAGCGATATTCCTGATGGGAAGCAGAGCAGCAGTGCCCTAGAGAACGCCATAGGTAGAGTTTCCGTCACGGCTACCTGGCCGTGCCTCTCCGCGGAGGTGTGCGAGCATCTGCCAGCTCTCCACTTCAGGAGCTGCGCTCTCCCGCACCTGCTCCTCCATCACCTCCAGCGACTGAAGCTGCGGGTTAATTATAGATGGGTCCCAACCGAAAGCTCACACGCGAGCAGCCTCGAACTCTGGGAAAGGTGCAGTGTGTGGCTGGCAGTCTCTGGGATGAGCTGGAGCACAGCTCTTCAGACCCGGGCACCCCCCATCTTTGGAAAAGGTTGGCTCAGGATTGAAGCCTGGCGTATGGACACCTAGCCAGCCATCTCTGCCCAGGCACGCCAAGTTACGGTAACGGGGAAACCCACATCCCTAAGCTAGTCCAGTGTGCGGTACAGGCATGGCCCTAGTTCTGGAGGGCTGCTTCCCGGCCTGGCCGCGTGCCTATGGACTCTGAAAGGAAGAACTCAAGTCTCCCCAAGGCCACTGAACAACATCACTAGATTTTGGGGGACGCCTAAAGAGAGAACAGAGAGTGAAGGCACAGACGCATGACAAGTGCGGCCAAGCAGTGCCCACGACCCCTCCAATGTGGCCAAGGAGCACAGCAAAACTATGGGTTTTTTGCAAAAAAATATATATACATATACATACACACACACACACACACACGTTATATATATATATATATATGTATGTATGCATGTATATATATATATGTGTATGTATACACCTGTACCTCTAACAACCTGTCTGGTGAGCGCTCTGGTGCACTTGCCAGACCAAAACACACTTGCAACTTTTTTTTTTTGCAAAAATATTTATTTCTGTATATATTTATTCCTAATATATATATAACTGTACCTGTAACAACCCGTCAGGTGACCTGTCTGGTGCGCTTGCCGGACCAAAACACACTTGAAACTTTTTTTTTTTTGCAAAAATATCTATTTCTATGCATATTTATTTCTTATTGTACCTGTGAAGGGACCTCCTCTGGTTTACCTGGCAGACCAAAACACGCGCTGTCAGTTAAACTCCTGCAGTCCCATGGTGCAGCCCGCCCGCGGCCACCCACCCCTCCCCGCGCCCGTGCTATGGTTCCTGGTTGTTGCGGAGGGTTTGCCCATGCCCCTGCCCCTCCTCTGCCCCCCGTGAGCTCTGCCATGTCTTTCCTGCCCTCCTCCTTTCTATGGCAGCAGTGGAGCAGGGAGCTTGGCGGGGGGTAGGGTTGCCAACTCCGAATCTACTCCGGGCCGGTTTTTTCATCACATGCCATGAACGACTGGACATCGGGAAGGCAAACGCCGGTCCTCGGACTTCCGACACACCGGGTTCCCGAAACCCCCCGTCTTAAGTGGAAACGTTGCGACTCGGGACCAATTTTCTCATAAGAAACAACGTCCTAAATGGGGGGTCGGTTCCTGAGCCAAGGCCCCACACTGTTTTCACCCAAACTCCCCCACTCTGTGGCACTCAGGCAGCTACAGGCGGGTCGCATGGCTCCGTTCACGCTGTAACCAGCAGTCGCGTTGCTTGGGAAGGGCTTCGCGGAGGTGGCTCGGCGGGACGTCTGCAGGGCTGGCGGCCGGAGCTGGCGGCGGGTTTCCCGGCGCTCAGGGGCAGCGCTCGAGGCGGGGCGGGCGGCCGGGCGGGCTCGTCGTGAGCGCCGTCAAGGCC